TTCATCAATGACTGAAAATCATTACAACTGTGAAAAATAGATGTCTGGGAATCTTCCAATTGTAGTAGAGTATGTTCCTTAAAGGGATAGAGATTTATCTGTTCTAAAAAACAATGCACAAAACACATTAAATTTTGATTTTTGATTTTCCTCCAAGACATACATTAAAAAAATGACCTTTGTTCCTAATGAACTACCAGTTTCAAGTTTGTGACAGTTTTTGAAAGTGATTTTTTAGAAAATTTAACCCTAGAGCCAAAGATATTACATTTTTGATATCTGGGGGGTCACAGTTTTCTTTCTACATTTGAAGACAATACTATGAATGATATGTTTCAATTCAAGCTGTCCATTCAACCAATCAAATGACCTGCTCATTGAGGTATGATCTAATAAGTAAAGATAAGACTAATAGGTAGATCTTGATTTAAACAAGAATGAGTTACCTTCAGAAAAAGCGAGTTGCTCTTGTATTAAGGTGTTACTGTTATAGACCCAGCCAAACAGGTGAAAGTGTCGACTAAGCTCTGCAACATATCACAGTACTACTGTTATAATCCCCAAAAGACCCTAAAGCTATACTACTATCACTTGACACATCATTGTAAAATGCTTAAAGTAAAGAAGAGGGCCTCAGAATACACTGAAATCTTCCATTCACTACAGTGACAGATTCAGCTTTACAGAAACTGCCGAGAATTGCCGATTGAGACACAGCCTGAACATATTGGTGATGATATATTATAATTTGGTCAGTATTTGTCAATATTTTGGAAAGTAAATTTATCTGATCAAGAATGTTTCTCTTAGATTTATTTTGTAATAAAAAAAACAAACCCCCCAGAACTAGAAAAGTAATAATGGTACACCTGTATAGTAATACCTTGATATAAAAATAGACAAATAACATGGCTGAAAATAGAAACAACCATTATACTGTGGTGAAAAAAATAAACAAAACCATTCTATTGGAAATAAATAGCAATAAACTTTCTGTTTAAATATATAATATGACAGAATCACAAAAAAAAAGAAGAAAATGGCGTGAAGACAAACCATAAAAACAGTTAAACCTGCATGTACAACCAGATGGTTCTGATTAAGTTTGATTTATATTTCTGTTATTCTGATACATAGATTTTATTTAAGATTAATTATAATATCTGAACACCTGGTTATGTATCATGTTAAATCAGATTTTTATGTATTGGAGTTAGACTATTGATTCATTGGTCACTTCATTTTCCAAGGTATGGATGTGACTGTACAATTGTCAACTTGACACCATTGTCACAAAGATAAAATACTGTTGAACCAGACCAAGTTTTATTTTAATACAGGATACTGTTTCTGTTCAGGAATTTGTTCTAGATTTTTAATGTCAACCTCTTAAGCTTCATGGTGACAAATACTAACCAAGGCTGAAAGATCTAAATTGCTTCCCTGGCTGAAAGTATAATCACTGTCCATTACTGACAGAGCCCCGATCTGAAAATATGGCCAGTCCGCTACTTTTTTTTTGTGAAGAATGGACCAAATTGCTTATTGTTGCAGACTAATTATTTCAATATTTCTATCGTAATTAGGTTAATGTCATCCCTAATGAATTCTAGTATTTCATAGATTATCTCCCTGAAGACTCTCTGTGGAAAAAATTTGAATATTCATGTCTCTAATTGATCGTTTTTGTCCAAGTTTTATAAAGTAAAAGATTTTTGTTATTCATGCTAAATTATTTAAGTCTCTTAGGAAATCAGATGTCTGTACATTTCAGCTGGCTATATCTGGAATAAAGTTGAAAATTTGAATTTGCTTTTGGGTTACTTCAACATCTCTCTGAAGTTAACAGAAATCATCATTTCCTGCAGGCTCTGATTTCCAAAATTGATCTACTTTGACTCTGTTAATATATAATATGTTCAAAATATAAGTATGCCCATTTAAATTTCAATTATTTGGTTAGCCATATATTTCAGCTAAATCTGCCCCACAAACCATTGGATTTTATATGTTTGATGATGATTTAGGCACTTAGCTTGTCACCCTAACATTTCTGTTATTGGCAGGTCAACAAATGATTTTATTGAAGTGTCTATAATAAAACATTTCTCTTATTCTCAAGATACAGTGATGTATTTTACGATGAATTAAACCAACAGACATGAATAGAGGGAAACGGAAAGCCAATAAAAATAATCAATAATTCTTATAGCAGGAATAATTCCAAGAGATCTGATATGACTTATATCTCAGACAGTCATTGAGAATAACTGAAGGTTATTCTGATCTTCTTAGACATCATTAGAGTTGATGGTGCCAAATAAATGTAAATTACTTTAATGCAATGTATGTTGTTAATATAGATGGGCAAAACCATTTATGCATTTCTTGATTTCTTGGAACATTCAAAACAAAACCACAATTTACAGATAATTTTAAGTAAGCTCAATTTGTCCTGCTCTACTGATATTATGAACAATAATTACATCATAATCACAATGGTGTTACATAGGTTGTCCTCCATTAGCCCTGCATTGAATTGTGTGCTCTCACAGTGTTTGTTCACAAAGTGTTTCATGCGATTGGAGGTCATCTATTGTAAGACTTGTTCAGTACTAATGACCATAAAATGCTGAACAAATTGAGAACTGAATGAGGGCAATACCTGATTGGATTTGTGACTTAATATTGGTCATTGCCGCTGCAAATAATCTGATGTATACTATTCACTTTCAATTGATTTTCACTAATTCTTGCACACAAAGTGTTATATTTATAGTGTCACTTACTTTGTTACAAATTTATCAGTGGAAATAATATGATCATAATGATGCTAACAAGATGCAGTGCATTGACCCACTTGTAAGTTGTAACATCTGTTTTTATTGGTTTAGTCACCAATACAGATATTGTCAGATTGTTTGTAATAATGGGAGATATGACAAACAAAAGAGTAACTATAGTATATCAGAATAGTTGTATTCAAGTGATTTGGATACAATGAATCAGTAGAATAAATGTACAAGTCATCATGAATATTAAGATATGTTTAGGGTGAATAACTGGTTATGATGTTCACAACTTTCGTTGAAATTATGTCATCTTATGATTACAAAATAATTGAATTGTGGTGGTAATTTTTAAATTGACTCTTGAACAATGAAGGTAAATATTTTTTAGATAAAGTTTCTGTGACCTGTTATCCCCTCATCTAGCAGGGAACGCCCAGGGGGTGGGGGGAACCTGAGAAGCGACCGTCAAATTTAAAAAAAAAAAATTTAAAGCATAAACAGATGGCGTTTAAGAAGGTTTATGGTCACCAATATATGGATTCTTCAAAATTATCATTTTCATTAAGATGTCAATTTGAATTATCTATGGCAATTTAGACCAAGCCTTTATTAAATATGCCTAGTATCCATCTTATATGCATACTACTGTAGGCTATAGGTGAAGTAGAAGAAAATATTGATTATTAAGGAATGTAACCAGGTAGCACAATATACAATACAACATCAAAACTAGGTCATTTTCCTCAATAGTATTACAACAACTTCAATTGGAATCAGATTCAAATATTTTGTCAATTTTGGTTCTATTGTGTTATTTTTCAAATTTCCACAAATGGTAAGTTTACCATTTAGCCTCACCTTAACTTTTAGTGTATAATGAATTTGAAAGGAAGGTTTGTTGAACCATGATTTTTGGTCAATCAGATAAGCAAACTTTTGTTGTTAATTTTTTAGATACCTGGCTCATTGTTGCCATATAGACTCTGGCTTTGCTATAAATTGTAACTTTTAATAACAAGTCACTGCCTTTTAAATATAGAACTTAAAAATGTGTACCGGTATAAGGTTTTTAGAAGCGTAATGATTTCTTTGAGAATGCAGCTCATGATATTTGTAGTGTAACAAAGTCAGAAACTTGGTGAGACCAAGAGTAGTTGAAAAGATAAATTTACAATTTGATCTCATTTCAAATATTATCTCATAGCAAATATTATCAGGTAAGGACAGATCATAGTTTGTATTTTAAAGGTAGGCCTATATTTGAACTTTACTACGTATTATATATTTAATCTTTTAATGCAATTTTATTGATCTGTTAACTAAAAAAACAAAATTCAGTTTTTTTAATATATAGCTTAAAGTTACCTTTAATCTTATAAACAAAGTTTAATATCAGAGATTGAATAAAATGTGAACTTTACTACAATATTTGATCAATAAAAAATAAAAGGCTGTAGGTGATTATTTTATTTTATTAGTTTTGACTTTTAGTTTATTAACTATTATCAAATCAAGCTAGGTTTAAAGCTACTGTATGAAATACTTGTATCAGTTTACTGTTTTCACCAGGCTTAGATCAAGAGTTCCCCTTAAGCAAAGTAAGAATTGTGCCTTAGAGAAATTTTATGTTTTAATTGAGACCTTTCATGATCATCATTTCATACCCTTAATCAAAAATTTTTATATATGAACATACCAATAGTTGTTAATAGTTTGCAAGTCAAGTCAGATTGACATTCTAAAATATCTGAATGTGACTTTTGTCTTTAGGATATTTGCTGTTGAAATTAGCCACTTTATGTGCATTTTTCATGTTTTCTCAACAAAATTTTTAATAAAACTACATTAATACATTTTAATATTTAATGTTCTGATCAAAAGTTTCCAGGAACGGTGTTATTCTGAATCAAAAAAATGAGATGAATGAATTTAATCTATCTATTCTTCATGATGATATCTCTTTAATCTAATCAGAAGGTCAAAGTTTGTTAATCTTGTGTTTTTATCAGTTAAAGAGAGTTTTTATTATGAGATATATTATAAGTTAATGATAAGTTATCAATACTGTTGAGATCAGTTTAGAGTATATGTCAGTATTAAACAGGATTAAAAAGTACCTTATAGAAATATATACTTCATATCATGATATATGTTTCTGTTTAAATTTTTATAAATTGGTGAATTTTGTGATTTATATATATATAAAAAATGGATTATGAAGCTGTAAATATGGTAAGTATTGTTCAATATCAAAGTGAATTTGTGTAGGAATATTGTACAAGAACAAGAAACATACACAACCATATTTTCGAAAGATATTATTTTAGTTTTCCTGAATATCAGCTGGGTTTTAACAAAATATTATGTCATTGATTTAATAATTACCTTTTTGACTGAAATGATGACTTTTTTCAGATTAGCTTCTGGCAGGCCTTAGACATTGATGTCATACAATGTTAATGCTTTAATTAACTGAGCTACCATCTTTTGATATTATAGTACACATGGAGACAATCAAACTGTTTCTTAGATATTGGTATTAAATATGAAATACTCAAATGATGCACCTTGATATTTCTGGAGTTAATGAGTTAGATACAGGCTTAATAAGCCTAGTAATGTACTACATTACACTATGTTATATAGTGCAGTCAATTTCATATCTAAGCTAGTTGTACTTTAGATATAACTGTTTAAATTTTGACATGACATGACATGCTTCGTTTTTATATTCATCTACAAGGGCATCACTAAATTGGAAAAGACTTTATTCAATGACTTTTGTTTATTATTCAGGAGGTCCTTTTGGAAAATATTCTTATCACTCACCCCTTGATGGAATAAAGGGAGACTCTTATAAATACCTGGCGTTACAACAGACATTTTTGTTGATCTGTGAATCCTAGAGAGTCTTGAAGAATGAGTGAAATCTTTCAGTATTTTCAATCTTCTGTTAATTGCAGGATACTTGTACATTTACACCAAAGTTCTTTGAAGAATTCACATTCAAGAAAATAACACATGACCAGTTCTAAGGAACTTATGAAAAACCATTTGGCATTGACCAAAGCAAGACAACTTGAATATAAAGATCAAATTAAACAAGACTTATTCATTTATTGATCCATTCATACAGAGAATCTGAGACTGATATAATTATGTTCTAGACAGAACAACATAGCCAATCTTATTAAATTACTTCCATTTTGTGTAGGTGTATAACAAATTGTCATGTAGTAATCTCTCCAATTGATTTATCAAAAGATTTGTCATGGTGATGATGTAATCGTCCAGATAGATATGTCAGTTACATCTGTCAGCTTCTGTGTTATATCTTACTGTTACACATATCAAACTGTAATACCTTGACAGCTCATCTAACTACTGGTTTGATTTGGTCATCAGAATACTAAGGATTAGTCACTCATTTAAAGTATTCTGATTGAGTAACAGTGTATATATTGTATCAGTCAGTAGGATATTAAGAATTACTTGTTATTGAGAATAATGCGAGAATTGGATATAAGAATTTGGCTCAAAAATGTAAGGAAACTAAAATTTTATTGAGATTTTTTGGTAAAATGATGTTAAATATATTTGAGATGTTTTTAAGTAAAGGAATATATTATTGAAATCATGTGGTATATTTAATACCATCTATTGAGTCATCTTCAAGAAATGAATTTAGAATTTGGTAAAAGTATGTTTGAAAAACTAAACTAAATTCATTTTTGGTTCAAATGATATGATATTAAGTGCTTTATTGATGTCAAATGAAATGAAATTGAGTTTTTCATCTTACTCTTTTTTATTGAATTAATGAAGAAAGGTTTTTCTGATTTAGTTACTGTATATGCTATTTTTCGAGACAGTCAACTGAAACGCTTTAATGATATTTCAGTTTATACATGTATAGAAAATAACTAAATAATCATTATTTGGGAAACTGAAACTAAACTCAATGCTTTCACAATATTGAATGTCTGTAGTTTACAGCAATGGTACTGATATTAGTTGAACATTCTAATAATACTGAACTTAATAGAGTTTTCTAAAAGATTTAATTTCCATTTCCATTTCATTACATTTAATTTTTTGTAAATTTCAGATTATTATAAGAGGAAATTAGAATATTATAAATTAGATTAAATCGATTATTTTAACAAGAATGTCATAAGACATTTGATTTAACATCATTAAAATGTCAAGCTATTACAAACTACATCTAATGCCTTGACATCATTAGGCACTTTTCTTGTATTATGTTCTTTACTTATTCTTAACTTGAATTTTCTTGATCATTTCAGGCCACACAATTCACAAGTAAAATCCCCGGTCCAGGGAAGAAGAAATCCTTTCTACCAGCACCAGTTAAAACCAGTTCAGCTCCTTTACCAACTAAATCTCCTTCTCCCGAACCAAAAGATCCATTTGCTATTGGAGACAGGGTTTGTATCGCTGGTATTAAATTTGGAACTCTTCAGTATTTCGGTGAAACTCATATTGCCCCAGGATTATGGTGTGGTGTGGAACTTGACGAACCAGAAGGCAACCATGATGGGATGGTTCAAGGTCGTCGATATTTTACTTGTGAATATAAACACGGTATATTTGCTCCTCTTGACAAAGTCGCTCTCTTAGAAGAGGATATTTATTTCGAAGATGATTATATGGACACAGGAAGTGAGTTAGAAGAGCCAGTCATAGCGCGACCCAAAAAGAGTAAACATCATAGCAGTGAATCTAAAATAGCCAGAAGTCGTTCGTCACATGATGCTGATTATTCGAAATCTAAGATAGGACGCGGCTCTGGTATACCGAAACCTGGATCGAAACAAAGACCACTTTCTTATCATTCCTCTAGTGAATCCTTAACTCAAACTTCTCCTATAAAGACAAGGTCACTGAAAAGTGTCATAAAATCTCAAAATAGTTTGGAAGAGGATGAAACTAATGTGCCACACCCTTCGAAGCCTTCTCAAATTCCCGGCATTTCGCGGTTACCCAAATACTCACAAAGCAGTGGAAGTCTAGTCAGGTCTCCTTCTAGCTCTGAACATATTGTAGCTGATATAACTAGTCCCCAGTCTGGAGAAAGTATAATTTCTGCTGAGTTTATAGATGATGAGTCATATGAAATAGAAAGTGAAAATAATTCTCCTCGACATCAGTCTCCCAAACGTCAAGCTTCATTGGGACAGTCTCCGGAAGAGACCTACAGCAACCATGTTTCTGTGCAATTGAAATCTGATAGTCGGCACTATTTGAACCTGACTTTTGACCCTAATGAGGGTGGATATGTTAAGTCAAATTTACCTGATGTAGTGGCATCTACTTCACCCTCTCCTGACAACAAGGAATTTGGTCGAGATACCTATCGTGACAATGTAGATGGCCATGGAAATGTAACTTTGGAAAGTTGTGGTTCTGAAACATTGGATTCTTCACGATTAGATGATATTAATTTGTTGGACAGTATTTGTGATTCTAAATCAGATAAAAAGAAACGTGAATCACTTTCAGTGTTGTCTGAACAGTTTGATAAGTTGAAACTTAACAATTCTCCCTTAACTTCAAAGGGCAATAACTCTAGTGCTACTCAGGATGTAAGTTCTAGTCTGAAACTTTCACGGGACCAATTTGTAAATATGGAAGGAGATTTAGTTTCCGATCAAATGACCTGTTCTAACTCACAAACATTGCAACAAGAAGTTGCACCAACCATGATGAAAAGTCTTGATGACTCTAGTCGCAAGATAATGATGGATTCGGGGATATCAGAAATGTCTGCTAGTCAATTGACAGACTCCATGACACGTTCACATCAAATGGACAATATTCATGGAGTTCTGACGAAAAGTACAGACATGGGAAAGAGTGTGCCCATCTCGGATCAGATTGTGATGACAGATTCAGGAATAGCCGGGAGTTACCATCGTGATGCTAATGTGGGATTTGTATCTAATGATGTGAAACTGTCTGAGGATCTGCTGGCTGGACATAATAAACATGAACGTCCAGTGTCTTTAATATCTACAACTAGTGCTGATACAGGTTAGTACACTTTAAGACCTTTATTTGGTTATTTGTTGTCAATATGTATGTTTTTTTTTTTAATTTTCTCTAGCTATTCCGCAAACACATACTGTTCAAACTAAGACAAATATTATAATTTTATGGGCAGTTATGGACAATGACATCATGATATTGGTAATATCTGCACTTGAGAAAATCTGAAAATTGATAATGATAGCTAAAATTAGACTCTTTTTAAAAAAGATATAAATGTGATGCTTATCATGTAGATTTATCACAATTTCTAGTTTGATTTGACAGTAGAAACATAATGTGTAAATTGAGGGGATTGAAATTACATTTTGCAACTCACTGACCAAGATTACAAAACCTACTGTCCAAATTATTACTTATTTCATTGGTCATCCAAATAATGTCTGATTGCACGTGTCCTCTTTGATCTTCATGTGGAGATATATACAGGAGGATGTATGTTATTTAGGTGGCAAATGTTCCTGTGTGTTGGATTACAGGATATAGTCAAGATATTACTCTTGTTCTAGCAAATTATGTTATCACATTGCATTTCTAGTGCTTAGTGGACGTATACTCAGTTTGTCATCTGACAAATGATTAACGGCGATAGGTTAGAACTTTAAGAAAGAGAGAAAAGTTATTATCCATAGCTCAGAATTGGTTTAGTTAGACAATGATTTGGTAGAAAAATATTCAGATATAATATTGAATTGAAATTACCAGTAGATTGTTTTATAGTGCTGTTTGTTTCACCTTCCTATAGCCCAAATGTTTATAGATATAAAAAAAATTTTGTCAGTTATTTTCTTTAGAATGATATAAAATGATAATTCTATAAATCCTTTTCTAAATTACTTTTGACAAACCAAATACTTAAAAGAATATGTTGGAATAAAAATTCTACCATATCACCCTGAATTTATGTGCAGCCCCTGGGGATAGATAACTGGACATTAGAAATAGAGATAATAGTGATGTTCAACATGGACTAATTGTTTTAATGACCTTCACTCAGCCGTAACACTGGGGTCAAATGTCACAGAGACCTACTGACAGCAGAATAAACAGATGTATTCATGATTATTAAACCAAGATACTCTGGCAGTTCTTTGTGTGCTACTGTTTGCAACTGCTGGAATTGATACTGTAAAAGACCATAAGAAGTTTCTCTAGGATATGCACAAATATGTATTTGAAGTGAAATAGGAATTCCATATTTTGCATGATTTGTAAGTAAGTAATTTGCTTCTGTTGAGTTGAAAATAGATTCTACAGCGATGTAAGATGATGAACTGAATGATGTTCTATGTCCTGCTGCTATACTGAAGATTGCTATCTATCTAGCTTTACAAGCTGCACATCCTATATTCAGGTATTAACTTAATGAAAATCCTGGATGTGGTAAAACTCAAGAAAATTCAATTGTTCCACTGTCATTGGAACAAGACCATGGAATCGACTTGAGTTGACAATTTTCATTGTCTGATAAATAGCAATGACTTCTCCATGGCAATGAAATGACTTAAGGTCAACAGAACTGAAATATTCTATAATCTATTATTAGAAGCAATGAAAACTAAACCATTATCTCTCAGACTAGTATAAGATTAAGATTAATGTTCTTCTAATCTATTGTTATAGATTACGTCTAATTTCATAATTCTATAATCCAATGTTTTAATTTGTTGTATGTGATATCATAATAATGTTTATATCAGTTAGATAAAGTGGTGTATAGGTAAATATTAAATAAGGACTTTGACTATCAGATATTGTTGTAGGATTAATTATAAAAGGTACAATGCATCTTTACTATCAAATTTGTAAGTTCAAAGCATCTTTTTTCCATTCTTTGAGAGTTTTTGGTTCATTTTTTTAGAAGAAATTCTAGTTGTAATACAGTTTCATATTCTAAGAACTGATGATTTGAAGTTCTGTAAGTTGAAGGCTGAAGTTTTTGAAATCAAGTTTTTTAATCACTCTTTTATCTGATATTTATTGGAATGAAGGACCTGTCATAACTACTGTTCATAAAACTAAGGCGAGCAATAATATAACAGCTCAGCAGTGTGTTTGAGAATGAATAAGTACAACATGATCGCATTTCCACTGAATTTGTAAAGTAAAGCTACCTCTAAGCTTTATTACCAAATGTGTAGTGTTTACACTGAGTTTAACTGGTTCCCGAACGACTTTAACCTTGATCACAATGTCACACATTATTGACAACTCTTGATGTGCAAGACTACTGTTTAGACTAGTAAGAAATGCAATAGGCCAGAAAGACCAGTATGGCCCCTATGGGTGAAAGGATGTAAAGCTGGCTTTTTGTGTTTCCACTGGTTAAGTGAAAGCTGGCTTTAAGCTAGCTTTCAGTTGGCCCCCGATAACTTGAATGCAAAAGGAAGGGTTTTTTATTCACGATCCATAACGGTTTGGCAATTTGCCCAGCAGAAAGACACACAAGCTAGTTTAAAGCCAGCTTTTTCCCTCAGTGGTAACACAGTTCATGTTTCTTATGCATTACTCTCTTAAAGGGGTTGGAAGAAGTTTTATAGCTTTATTGATGCGTATCAGGTACATTTATGGCTTCAATTGGCATCATTCAGAATATATGTAGTTCCTGTAGTAATGTCACAATTGCAAAAATCAAAAACAGAATTGCAAGACCAACAGACATCTGACTGAAAGCTTTTTACAATCCCTTTAAGAAATGGTCAAGTATAAGTATTAAGGAAAAGATTGCAAAATTTTATATTTTGGAAGTCAGCCATTTGTGGGTATATTCAATCTGTCATTTATTTTCAAATTTGAGTTAACAAGTGTAGAAGTTGTATTTGGAGAAGTATCTGATCACTTCTTTGTAAATTTGACATTACTGTTAATGCTGTAATTTTAAAAATTTGAACATGATTTAATTTGTTAATCAACTATTAATTGGAAATTGTATTAAGTGTGTTTGAACCAGTAGAGATAATGTTATTTTCTAATTATTTCCATCAGTTAATTAAGCTGACAAAAACATTTGTTGTGGAATATTTAATTGTTCGTGTTTTGCCAGTTGATGAACCTAGTAACAAAGTAGTATCATTTGGCATGGTCAATAAATAACACAGAGTTGTAAGTTGTGTGACTGAATTACAAAGCAATGCCATGATATATTCAAATTGCAATTTAGAACTTTTTCAATCTGTTTTCAGGTTATGTTCCTGACACTGATTCAGAATGTGGAACTAAAACAACCAACTCTCCAGGAGAATGGCCTGCTGAGAGACTGGGTGACCAAACATCTATGACAGAAAGTCAGATTATCCAGTATCAGGATAGTTTTCAAGGTAGATTACTGATCTGTTTTCTCTGAAGATTTTGATACAAAATAGACCCTTTTCTTCATTTCATATTATGGACAATTTCATATAGAATTATGGAACAACAGTGAGACATTGATTCAAAATGAAAACACTGATTAGTGTATTGTGTCAAGAGATAATCTCATTCTAAATTTACTTGATTGTCACTGATCACTTTTCATGTTTCTAACAAACTTTTAATAACACTGATAATTATGTTGTAAAATCTTATCAGATTAACTACCTTTCAACATAAGTTACGTTGTTACAACCTTAGTAAGCAAAAGTGACCAAAATCATGTATGGATTTGAACTATATCAGATATGAAGGAGTCTCAATGAAGTATCTGTATATACATATGAAAGTCTTTAAACAATCATTATTTGAAAAAAAATAATAATGAATAATGTATATTACAATTGTAGCATTTCCCATTTTATAAGGTTATTTTACAAATATGACCATTTACTTCTATTCAATTTTTTCTGAGACCAATAAGTTATTTATTCTAAATATTCCAATCATAAATGATGGTTATTTGAAATATAAACACTGGAAGTTATATAAAACCTTAAACAATATGGTATATCCACCCTCTATTTATCAGTTTACAACTGGTAACAATATATCAGTGTTAATTAATTAGTAAGGCATACTTACCTGCAATTAACCCTCACTTGAGTGAGTGACCTATTTTACTTACTGATTAATTGAATCAATTCTTAATGAACTGTTGTTGACACAGTGAATTGTTTCATTATTTGGTATTGTGACAAGGATTATGAGGTAGGATAAATTCTCCAATCCCTTGTTGAATCTTCATTTGAGCTTCGTCAGCACATAAGGTATGAGATCTGGGGGAAACATACAATGTTCTTCATTTTGTTTTATTTATTATGTATAATTGTATTTATTCAAAATTTATTTACGTGTCATTGACATTTTTAATGTTTATGTGGTGGTAGAGAATACATTTGGCTTAATTTTCTTTTATGTTTCATTTTACTTCTTTCCTTTAAAGTAGATGCACTACACTTGATTTAGTAGTTATATTTTTTTATTTTCATGTGATGGATTCAGTTGAAAGATTCAAATTTTCTTGTTAATTTTTTATATTTTATTTTCATTTGGAAGAGGGATGTCTGAAATTTATTATATTCCAATTTTTACCTCGTTTTGCACATCTTGTAACGTTCAATTATTTTTATGTTTTGGAAAAGGTTTTAATTTTCTGTTGGATGAGGGCATTAATCTAATTTGGAAATAGGCACTAGTTCTCTAGACCAAGTTTGTAGTAGTAATTTATGATGGGGTTGGATTATCTGGAAGTAAGTTGTAAAATGGTAGTTATGTCCCCTCTCCACATAGTCTTTGCTTCCCTTCTTTATTTTGCACCTAGCACCTTCATTAATTCTTTTCACCCCTCTTTTCATTTTCAGCATCTTGTATTTCAGAAGAAGTGAAACATATTATTAATGCTCAGATCTCGGTAGATTCAGACGTAAGTGGTACAACTCATGACACTGAAACTGATCGGTAAGTCGGGATGATGTCAAAAAAACTTTTCAGAATTACTCGAATTTTTACAGAACTCTTTTTGAAACTTGAAATTGAGATTTTTAACTGTGTGAAACAATTTTTTCTGCATCTTAGTGAGAGTTTGAAGATGCCCTGTCCTGGAAAAGTTTTGGGTTCTCATCTGATATTTGTAACATTTTGGGTACAAGTTGAGCATAAACTAGCAGCAAATTAAGTGAACTCATGTAAATAACATAGCAATGTTGATTATAATCAAAAGCTAAGTGTAATGAATTATGTGATAAGGTTATTTTATTTTTCCAGTGAAAGTGAAGTATCAGAAACACACATTACAGAAACATTAAAACTTGATCCAGCTCAGGTAGGATATAGACAAGTTATTTTGAAGATTTTTTATAGAGTAACTTCTGTCCACAGCCAAGATTTAGGAAGCAATCCCAGAATACGTGGAGATTATGCCTTCAGATGTTCAGATGGCGGCTTCCCACGTAGTTGCCGCACTGCAGGCTAACATAGAAAGGTGTCTAGTTGTTTTGATGCCACATTGCAAGAAAACTTTTCCATATTGCACACTTCATAGCATTGCCAAATTCGGTGCAGAAAAGCAGTATAAAAAACTTTTATTTCTAATGATCATGTATTATATTTTTTCAGGAATCCAGGTCCCTTTCATCCCACAATAGTGAAGATGACCGTATTGAAGCTGATCAAATTTCTAGTGATATTGATGATAACCTTGGTGATAAAGGCCTTGAAAATAACCATGACAACCACCAACATGAACAACCATCTCCAGGATCTGAAAATAGTGGTGATGTGGTCTCGGTCGTCGACAATACGGAGGTCTTGGAAACTGCCACAGAAGAGGGAGGCGTATCCAATGATGGAAAGACCCCGAACAATAAAACCACAAGTTCGAAAGCTTCTCCAAAACATGCAGTTAAAACTGAACACAAGAAACCCAACACCAAGGTGTCGTCAAGATTAGCTGATTACATTAACACCCCTGCACCTCCCCCTAAACCCAAAGAAGAGACCCCAAACAAGAAAAATCTTATGAACAAGAAGAACATTGACAAGACAAATGAGAAAAATGTGGCCAACATCCAGAAAACGGAAAGTTGTAGGAAGCCAAAAATTGAGAAGGAGCCACCCAAGATCATTAAGCGTTCACCACCCAAGAGTAAATGGGGTTCTATTATGTCCCAGATTGAATCCCATAAAGATGACAAGCCAGTGAAAGTTAAGACTGAAGTTAAGAGCAAACTTCAGGAATATCTTTCCAACCCTGCCCCAGCTCCTGTTCGTAAAGAAAAAACTCCCAAAAAAGAGAGCAAACCAAGAAGTGTAATCACAAATTCACCTAAACCAGACTACAGTAAAGTGAAGAGTCGTCTGTCAGTTATTGCACCACCTCCAAAACGAGATAATTCACCCTCGAGTAGAAGAGGGTCAAAAGTAGAGAAAGGAAACCTCCCCACCCCAGGTTCAGCAGGCAGTAGCAAGACCGATATTAGTTTAGAAGTTAATGCTAACAGAACACCAAGTAAGTAGAACTATTGATTCATATTTGTTGTCAAAACCATTGTATATTCAAATTTTACTGCATTATCTCCCATTAGCCTTCAAATCCAGAAATCCCATTTTAAGCCTTTAGTCACCTTATAACTCTGGATTTATTTAGTAATTTATGTTTCTTCCTAGGAACATCTATATCAACAACAATATCTAAGCTAGCAGCAGAAAGTCGACGTTCCAGTGTTTCTAGTGTACGTTCTGACAAATCTCAGGTACAGTAGTTTACAGATTTCTACTAAAAATTTTGTGATTTTCAGGAATCCACTTTGTGATCTAGATGGTTGTCTGCATCTTCTCTCAAACTAAACATCTCTAATGTTATAACCCATGCTTGTAGTGTTCTGAAGTAACTAGTTGCATGCGCCACGACCCTCTGTTAATCATGAAATTTTATTATGATTATCATTTTTTTGTTATTTTTTCAGGGTTCCACAAAAGCTGTGAATAGTAAACTTTCAAGTAGAAAGAATTCCACAACAGAATCTAAAATTGCTGCACCAAGACCTCCCAACAAAAAACTGGTGAAGAGTTCCATACCACCAGGTAATTTGGAATTATCTCCCTTTAGTCTTCAGAAATTAGTTGAACTTGCTTTACACACATACATATTTTTTCCTTTTTCTTACAATCATAATGTCTATATAGCAACTTAAGAATAACCTTGAATTGGCAAATGGTTCTCCTCTGTAATCAATTTTGAAAGAACATAATTTCAGTGAAAATTTCAAAGTGGATAATTGCCAATTTGAAATCATTTAAAGTTGTTAAATATAGCTGAACATTATTACACTGTACAACTGAATACCGTCAATGATTTTTCTTGAAAGCATAAATACCTTACTTTCTTGTTCTAATATCATATCTGACTTGAACACAAAATGAGTCCTATTTTTAGTTTCAGCAATTTTCATCACTCATCACAATTCAATATTGCTCCTAATAGACATTTTGCTGCTCGTCTTTTTTTCTGCTGCTTTCTTTGCATTCTGGAACCTAAAGTAGACATATTAACATTTCAATGTCAAATTATATGAAGGCATGTTGAAATTTGAAATTTTAGTCCTGCATGTTATATGGTTCAGTTTTCTAATTTTGTCTTGCTTTGATAATAAAGTAACCATACTAAATCGATGAGAGCAAAATCTATTAAAAACTGCCACTTATAAATTGACTTGAAAACAACTACAACTCTAAACTCTATTTGTTGTCTTGTTTACTATTTTAGCCATTAGGACACCAAAAAAGGTGCTACCTACTGTAAACGAGAGGTCTTCAAAGAAAGATAACTCTCGTTCGGTTTCCCTGACTAAAACACCTAAAAAAGCTTCTAGTAAGTCTAACACAAGTTCCCCTTTTAGTGCACGTTTTTATCACATATATACAGTTTTTATTTTGTTAACCCAATTGTTGTGTGCTATTGATAGGCGTAGGAGAATTGTAGGGATTTCAAAATTTCCAGTAAACATAGTTCTATTTTGGACTCATTATGAAAGAGATTCTATGTACTTCAGACTCCTACACCTATAACACTATTATCCAAAATATTGCCTGCTGTTGTGCTTGTCTTGTAATAACCCTGTATTTATGATTATGAGAAATATTTGAAAGTGCTGTATAATATTGTGTTAAGAAAATCATTATTAAGTTTTTGTATAATAAATAGATATTGTTATTTTTAAGAATGAAATTATTGTATTGTGGTCATTGATTTGCCCTCCTTTGTGCCCTATTTGTTCATGCCATCTGACCTTATTTCACCAAATAAGGCTGCTTTTTTACATTTGCTTTGCATAACATACATGCAAATAAGTTATTGGACATTGCATTGTTGGTACTGTTTTATATAAGAAATCCTCATCAGTACAGCTGATTTGGAAAGAGTCGTCAATGAGGTTTCATGAGTTAAAAATGCTTTCTTAACTTCATATGTATTAACATGATGGACTGCAATGATGCTTAATTCTTGATGGTCAATGAGAATCTCCCTTCTATTCTGATTTGGGATCTGGAATGACCATGGAAACAATTAAGGGATAAAGGCAGTGTGGCATCAGGTGTTCTAAGAGTACCAAGCCTGCCACAATACTCAATAAAGTATACATACATGTATTATGGTTTTGGCCTCAAAAATCTTAAAGTTGAATTAGTAGATTCTGGACCAACAACCTACCTTTAGTTCATTTCCTTTTTTCCTGTTAGATTTTGTTTGAAGATAATTAGGAAATGCACATAAAGCCGTCTTTAATGTAGATCATATTTAATATGAACTTATGAGTTAAGGTTATAATAAATCTTGCACAATTTTCTGGTTAATAAAACTCAGTTGTATCAGATGGTAAATATTAAGTAGATATGAATTGTTAATTGAAACACCAGGGCAAGAAGAGTGCAGTAGTCAACCCTGTCTGTATAGTATATTACCTTCTCTACTCTCTTTAAACCTCATAACATCTGTTAGCCTTTATCAGATAATTACACTATAATTTCTTACTTTTCAATATTACTAGATTAAAGAGATTTTATATAGCTAATACATCATTTTTCTCTATTTTTAACTCTATTTTTTAACATGATATAAAGAAGTAAATTTGAAAGTCGCAAAGTAAGAGATGGCATATTACTTAAAACTAAAAGATTAATCACATTACGAAAAGAAAAAAAAAACAGTTTTAGCTAAGTAAATTATGTTCCCTTTGACAATTAATTCTGTGGCCACAACTGGGATCCTTCACCTATAATTCATGATCTTGGTCAAGTTTTCTTTATCACACCTATGACAAAGCTCCATCAGTAAAAATTCTGTTTGGAGTCAGAATTGAGTGTGGTTTAAACTCAGAATAGTCAAGATATATTTAACACGATACTGTCAGTGTGAAAAATAACAAGTGTATCAGATATTTAATCAGAATTATCATTAATTCAATACTAACTGATTATTTATAATTAATTACATTTAATCAAAATCATAATGAGATAGTCATTAATTTTAAATGATGATAATGAATTAAACTGGGGTCAATTGGTTCATACCATAGGTTATTATGCTAGTTGTCTCTACCCCTAAATGTTGCTGGTTATCTTATCTCTAAATGTCCATATCTGTCCTGCGTGCTCTTCTGTTGAATAAAGTTTTTAACAGGATTGTGGTTCTGCTTATTAAGTGAGGAATGGAGAGGATAAGTATCATGTAAGATTTCATTTAGTTTGGTATATTCAGAATGCTGTGATTTGAATTTGAAGGAAAACTTTTCAAACTATTTCCTAGTGACAATAACAAAATACATGTATGTTTCATTGAATTCATTTTGTCAATTACTTAAAGAGCTACTGAGATTTTTGGAATTTGGGACAATTGTTATGCTATTGCTGTCTGCATTGTGGTTAAAGCTAAAAATTTGACTGTGATCTAGAACGTCTGAACTCTATGGAGAATTTGCTTGTCTCTGAAATTTATATAAAATTTTGAACAGTTTGACCCATTTTTGTTTATTTTGCTATAGTTAATCTAACTAGATATTGATTTGACTATATATAATATATACACTATACCAGCTGTTACAGGCTTCATGGTGTCTATTATAATAATTTCAATCATTTTATGTTATTTTGACATTTTCGTTGACATATAAAGTTCTTGACTCCTTGCATTTATACACTGTAACTGGTATAGCTTATGTTTTTAACTGTTTCCTGGGTGGCGTCTGTTGTGTCTGTTCTTCCAAAAATTGTCTATTTGAAGTGTGAATCATATTGTAGATACATTGAAAGTTAATTCTGTTATTGTGGAGAAATAGATTAACACTTTGTTTATTTTTATGGTTTGTTTTGTTCTGGGATTATATCTGTTTATTTCACCATATGACATATCGTTTGTCATTGATGGAAATTTGTTGCAAGTGACAATTTTGGCATATTTTTATGTATATCTGGAAAAATTGTGATAAAAGCCAAAAACAGGATACCTCATTTGAGGCATATTCTTTTATTTGACCTATATTATCTAAGAAGTTCCAAAATAAAATGCGGTTCATATGATATAAATAGGGATTGTATTTAGATCATATCTAAAAAACAAAGTTTGCCAAATTTTCAGTTATTGGAATATAATATGAATTCCTTTTCTATGAAAAATGAAACCTAACTAATTACTGCTAATTTCCCTGTTATTTTCTGATTTATAGTCAGTCTTGTTCCTAGTTTTAAAACATATGGTTTAAAGGAACCAATCTATCTTCCAGACAGCTCAAAAGTGGAGTTCTTTTTTCTTCTTAGGATTAAGATTAATACTTATATTTGTTTGGATAGTTTTTGATGAACACTTTTCTAAATCTGTTTTGCTTAAGGCAAAGAATATTTTTCAGTCAAATGAAATGGAAATATTATTGTGTGATTAAATTTGAAATTGAGTTACAAGTACAGAGTTATTCTTGAATATTTAAGTTTATAACAAGTTTTAAAGATTTGTTGATATATGCATTACACGTAAGGAGTGTGGCTTCTTTAAAACAGATTAATTTATTTTCCTTAAGTAGGTTAGCCCAGTTAAACCTAGTTTCTTTGTTTTGGCAGAAGATAAAAACTTGCAGTTTGAAAGAGGTTTCAAGTATAAAGAAGGGTTTGTTGATATTAAAGTGGAATTACTGAATCTGTTTATACGCACCGAAACTTCTTAATCTGTTTTTGATATTTCAACTGGTTTTCATTAACTACGGAAGTGGAATCACAATTTTGAGTAAACCATCTTAAAGAATTAACAGCTGATTAGCTAGACAGAAGGAGAAAAGAGAATTTTAAGTTTTTAAGAAACAGTTTCGGTGGTTCTTTGTTTAAGAACTTAGTTTAGTTGCAATCTCAAGGTTATAAGATTTATAGATATGGCTTCCTGTATTCCTTCTAAGAAAAGTAAAGAAAAGGGAAAAGGAAAAGGAGTGAAATCATTCTTTTCTAGACTGTTTAAAGGTAAGTTTATGTTTTCTATTAATGCTAGGTAACATTTCCTACTTTTAAATCCATTTGATTCCATGAAATATTCCAATATTAAACTGATACCATGAGTTTGTTATATGTTCAGTTTTATATTTGATTTTTATATCTCAGATCTCTGTAGGTGAGCTCAGTTTTATTGGTGATTTAGCATGTCATTGTAACCAATATGAACAAACTGCTTATATTAACCAGTTTATCAACTAATAACAACTGTGATCAAATAGATAGTTCTAAATTATGTCTGCTCAGGTTGACAGTCATTTTATATCATTTACAAGGGTCTTTCTGTTCCGAGCAATGTCAATTATTCATTATATTTTAATTTGAGGGCATCAATTTTAAGCAAGTCAGTTTGCAATCGTAGAAAACAAAACAAACTCAAATTTTCAATTAAAAAGGAAAGAATGGGATCAAACTGTTTAATCTGAAAGAGAAGTTAAGCTACTAATATTTTCTGATAGGGATATAGATGCAAACGTGATCCCCAATCCCCGATTATTTAGTTTCACATCAAGTCCTTAAGACCAACATCATTGACAGTAACCTTGAAAACAAACTACTTTTAGTGTCAAAATATGATCTGATGTGTTATCTCTAATAGTATTATTGCTGTAACCCTTTGATATTTAGAATACTTACTCATCTGTTGTTTCTGTAAAAAAACAGCATAATATTTTCACCTGGGAGACAGCCTAGTCTATCTACTGATGGTTATTCAATCACAGACCTACAGATGGTAGAATAAAATGAATTCAATTGACTAGAAAGTAACCGTGTTTGTTATCTAAGTGGTGAATGTAATTTTTAGTGGTAGAAATAGTGTATATGATGCCATTTCTCTTTTTGTGTTTGGGAAAGGGACATGGATACAGAGGCGTATCTAGAAAATGCCCTGAATGACAGGTGTCTCTTGGATGTGAGGGCCGCTGGGGCTTCTAGAGGCCTTAAGAAGCCAGTGAATTTCAGATGGTTTAAGATGAAATTTAAGCATCTAGAGGCTTAATTTTCACTTCAAAATAAGACTTTTCACAGGCCTGAGGGAAGGGCCATGGCCCAATGACTGGTTGGGCTATGCTCTTCTTTTTTATTTATTAGTAAAGATCATAGTGATGGACTTGTTCTCTTGTAGGGAAGTCCATAGGAATGATCTTCTTTGCTATAAATTGGTACAAACCATACTGATGATTTCTTGATGTCTTGCCATACTCAACTTGGAAGTGAACAAATAACCCTCTTCAAACACATGGAACAAAAAAAACAAAATGTATTCATCATTTTAGCAATGCAGGAATGATTGTCTTGTGTATATTGAAGTTTGTTGTGTCAGAGGAATGTTCATTTTCATTACATTGTATCAGAAAACATATGTTGTTTTATTAAAAATAATTGTAAAATCTTCACCCATGATGACTTAATCTCATTAGTTTAAGCCTATAATGATATAATTGACATCTG